ATACAGCTTCAGGGCTTAATGGCCCTGCTAAAGGAGATTCATCTAATCTTTGGTTAAGTTGTTGTACTAAGGGTGAAGGATCAAGATAATTACCATCCTGAACATTAACATTTGGGATTGATTGAATGCTAGTTCTAGCATTAGGAGGAGATCTACTTGAACTTATTCTTACATTATTCTGAGTACTAAAATTTCTGGCGGCAACTGCAGGTCCATTGCTTACAGCTGGAACAGGGTAGTCTGTTGAATTGTGAAGCTCTTCAACGGTTGTTGCGTTTCTTAAAATAAATGTTTGTAAAGTTTGGTAAAGAGCTTCAGCTCGTCTACATCTAAAGGCGTATATTCCTTGGCCAGTCTCACATCTACGACCAGATTCAAAACTGAACAAGTCTGCATCATAACCATAACGTCTAAGGGATTTCAAAGGCCAAATTGTAGGTTCTTTGTTTCTTCTGTGTAAAACCAATGCAGATTCTGTTACTTCTAACTGTCCGCTACCAGTAGGTACACCACTTTCATCAATATTTACAACACGAAATATATTAGGATGTAACTCATTAATATCATTTTGACTTTGTACACAACCCATGACATTAACTATTTAACAAATATTTCAAATGGTTTTCTTCACCCATTCCAAAGTCATAAATTTATTTAAAAATATAATTACGTATTAAAATATTAATTCTGACGTTTCATTGACATAATAATAAGTAATTGCCAATGACGTTTTATAACAAAAAGAACAGATCTTTAGTTTAGATAGGGCTGCCAACTACTAAGCATTCAAAAGCTAAAAATTTGAGAAAAATTGATTATTCAGAAATCAGTAGCTTTGCAAATGATAAAAAATGAATATTGTTTGAAATAAGGATATTATTTAGGTTTTAATAAGCATTTCCCACAGTATGATAATAAAAATAATGGTAAACATAATAGTTTTTCTATCAAGTTGTCATCATTTGTAGATCTCAGAATCCTCTTGTCATTTTGAGTTAAAATCTAATCTGTGAATTGACAACAAAATATAATTTTTGTATACAATCAAAAATGTCTGAAGATTTAAAAACATTAATGGACATGGGTTTCTCCAAACTCAAAGCGTAAGTTAAATATATAAATAATTATATTGTGAGAGGCACTGGCTTGTTTATTTATACCGGTTCTAAATTTATATTTATAATTCAAACTTTATATTTTGTATAAAGGTCGCCTGGATATAAATTGCTTGCAAATAAGAGTATAGTTATTTCATAAATTGTCTCAAAAATTTGTTATTTATATTTATAAATTTGTTGTTTGCTTTTTCTAATTTTATATATCACAAATATATTTAAAGGTGCTTGTTGATAGTTATAATATTATGATGATCATATATGAGATTATATTATTTATAAATTTAATCAGTATACTCTTTTATACAATTCTTAGAGAAAAGGCTCTTGCTGTAACCAATTACAAAGGCATTGAACCTGCAATGGATTGGTTATTGGCTCATGCTGATGATCCTGAGCCAGAAGAAAGTGCAGAAGAACACAAACCTCCAGAAGATACAATTGAATCGGCAACCTCAAACAGTGCTGAAGAAGCACAATCACTTAAATGTGAAGAATGTGGTAAACTATTCAAAACTCACTCTGAAGTTGAATACCACGCAGCAAAATCAGGCCACAGTCAGTTTGCTGAATCAACGGAAATTAAAAAACCACTTACGGAAGAAGAAAAAAAGGAGCAACTCATGAAACTAGAAGAGCGTTTAAAACAAAAGCGTAAAGAACGAGAAGAAAAAGAGAAGGTAAATGTAAAAGTTAAACCAAATAGCTAAAATATATATATTTTATGTATTCTCATAACACATATTGGAAATCTATAAAGGTGGAACAGCTTGAGCGGGAAAGATTAAGAATTAAATCAGGAAAGGATATGCTCGAAGCCAAGAAAAAACTTGAAGATATGGAAATTATGAAATTAGTTGCTGAAAGAAAACGAGAAAAAGAAGAAGATAAAAAAGCTAGAGAAAGAGTTAAAGCTCAAATAGAAGCTGATAAGGCTGCTAGAAGAGCAAAAGCAGCTGGGTAATTTTCTACATATGTGCTGATTACTTGGCAATTAATTGGCCCATAATAAACTGGGTCCATTATTCACTTTATCATGTTTTTAAAAATATATTTTGTAGTGTTGCAGAACCTGCACCTCCAATTCAACCAGTTCAAACAATTCAGCCAACAGTATCAAGGGATTATTCTTCTGCTAAGCTTCAAATACGAATGCCTGATGGTTCTGCATTTACACAATCATTCGGTGCAAAGGAACAACTTTCTGCTGTTCGTTTGTTTGTTCAAATGAAGAATTACTTTGGAGCAGATCAACCATTTACCTTAATGACTAATTTTCCTAAAAAAATATTCACAGAAGATGATTATGAAAAACCTTTAGACTCATTAGGTATATATTGCAGAATACAGTAATAATTATAATTGAAAATAATGTGTTATAATGCTATATATTAATTTGCAGGACTAGTACCAACAGCTGTTGTCATTGTAACAAAAGGTGGTGCGTAGGATTTGTGATGAATATATTTTTAAAAGATAAATGGTGTATGAAAAATATTTGAATGAAAGATTAGATGTATGATTTTATATATGATCATATGTAAATTATATTCATAATATAGAAATATAATTTTAGATTTTGTATTTATCAAAAAAAATATTGGCCGTTTTTTTTTTTTAAAAGAAGCTCTGTATTTTTCTACCGTCCAATAAAAAGAAACATAAAAATTGAGAATTGTGAGATATTTGAGAAACATGGACTTAATCTTCATTAGTCATGTGATGATCTGAAAAAATATGATCCTAATTGAAATGTTTTTTTATGGGGTACATATTTATTTTGGTTTCTTGCAAAATTTATTTTATTTTACAAAAGCAAATTTTTCACAAAATTCTATTACAGTTTGTGATAGTATTAAATATCATCTGGAATACTCGCATAGTAAATACTATAAGCATATAATAATAAATGTTATTTTTTTAAATTAGCTATGTACAAACCACTTTACAATTTTGTTCACTGATATCTTTACTTTAGCATGTATGCACTAACTCATTTAGTAAGTGTAATGAAAATATAATAAAAATAATTCTCGTTGAAATATAATATATATTTGGCTTAACTAGAATTATTTTTTATATTTTATTTTTATAAAAATAAAAACCTTTTACAAAATCCAAGATTAAAAGAACCTGAATCAGGGAATTAGCTTTTAGAAAAATTCGGGTCCTCTCGGACAATCCACGCGCGATTAACTTACAATTAGTTTTCAATAATAATTTCGAATGGTAAAATAAATAACAGGGTAATGCTTAATAATAAGCATTAAGATATCTTACCGATACTGATTCCAGTTTCAATTACATCATTATTATCTTCTTAATTTTACCTATAGCATTTCATTGAACGTGACGACGCTTTTTGTATGGTAGTGTTCGGCTTGAGTTATATCATTATTTTCGGTATGTGAGTGTTCGTGTTTCTCATGTCGATAAAATAGCATGCCTCTGTCCCATCAAATCTTAAAATTAAAACGCTTTGCCAGTACACTTTGCGGCGTTGAACAAACGCCAAACAAAACTGTTGCGCAGTGAAATAATAATATACTCTTATTGTTTCCACTAAATTCATTAAATAAAACAAATTTAAATCAACATGTGCCCAACTTAAAATTACAAAACTTCATAACATAAAATATATTATATAATACAAGTTCAGTTTGAAATTAAAGCTAATTAAATTCCATAAAACATATATTAATTTTGATGAAAATTTCATCATATGTATTAAATTATGTAATTAAAACAAATAGTTGAATTATAATCAATTATCAGTTCTCGCCACGTGCTAAACTCACGGATATAAAAGTTTATGTGCCTATGTACCTTAAGGTCAGTTTATCAAACAGAAAATATTCAAATTCAAATATTTTTTGTATACACACAATATCCGTAAAAATGGCTTATTGTATTTCAGAAATCTTCGGTCATTGATTTAATGTATATTTGAATAATGTATAATTTTAAAGAGCTAATTTAAATATGCGTATGCATTTTAATTTAATCTGTTTTAATTTAATTCTTATAACAAAATATTTTAAGATCTGTAGATTTTATTTTAACTATAAGTTATTTTATTTTACTAAAAATGGCGAGCTATACAATTTTCATTAATTAAATTAAATTTAAGGTAAAACAATAATTAGTATTTTGTTTGTATTCGGAAATCTTTGGTCATTGCATTAATTAAACATTTCCATTACAATAATTAAACTATGCGAATTAATTTTATTTTTATCTGTTTTAAATTGTTGCGATTGGAATATCTAAATATGATCCAAATGTTTATACATTAAAAATATTTTTTAAGACTGATCTAAATAGCTTTTACTATAGATTGCATCATATGATTGCAAAGTATTGTATTTTATTTTAGTTTATTTTTTAAGATCAATTTAACACTCAATTTAATACTCAATTTAATGTATATTTATTCTACAAAAATGGCATATTGTTTTTTACAAATCTTCATGTCATTAATTAAAAATTTTCATAATAAATGAAATATGCGAATACATTTTATTTTTAGTTGGAGCGGTAAAAACATTCATATATTTATGAATTAAATTTATTAATATTCTTTAAGACTAATTTATGGTATCTATAGATTTTCTATATCAAACAATTTTAAGTAATCAGAGCTACTTTTGACTCTGATAAAAAGCGAATCAATTTTTATTATGTAAAATCAATTTAAGACGATTTAATAATACATTTTTGTTTTCCGTACAAAATATCCCTAAAAACAGCTTAATTGCCTTTAAAAAAATTCGGTCATTACATTAATTAAAGAATCCATTACAATAATGAAAATATGCAAGTTCATTTTATTTTATAATTTGATGAATATTCATATACCTATCGATAAATATTTCTATTTATGATAAAGATATAATTGTTAATTAATCATTTAACAATATTTTTTAATACTAATCCAAGATATCAATATAAATTTTTAATATCGCATTATCAGAATATTTCGGTCGCCGCATAAGTTAAAAAATTACCTTACAATGTACTAATTAAAATATAGGAATTCATTTTGTGTAATCCAGGTTTAACTTGGTGGATATTTATATCAATATTGATAAATGTTTTTATATATAAGATTACAAATATATAGTGATTAGTCAATCAACTATAAATTTATAGAATCTTATAAGATATCTGTAGATTTTTACTATTGAATGTATCAAACAATTTAGAGCTATATAAGTGGCAAATCAATTTTTATTATTTAAGATAAATCGATAAGTTTAATTGAACGATATGTCTTTTTAATTATATCGTTGTGTTCATCAGTATTATTTTATATCGTTGAACTAGTAAATGTGTGTCACGAATCATCTAATTTATTAAAGACCACAATAATCAATAAATATGAACGTCAGTCAGTCTTAACAAGCTTATATATTTAGTATTTCTATTTGGAATATTTTCAATAGAAAAAAACACTTACATAAAAACGTAATAATGAATACTAGATACTGTTGAAAAATAAAAACTGCTATACTATGATAAATAATTTGTAATTTAATTATTTTCGTTATAAAATTTATTATTTTTATTGCTTATGATTGAAAAGTATTATCAGCTGTTTGTGATGAAACTTCTCCAACAACTTTAGTTTTTAGAACACAACGTTAGCCTATTCAAATCTATCAATAATCAAAATTTATCTAATATTGAATAAATTAAAAAAAAAACTATTTTTTAATAATGACTCTTATGTATATTACTGTAGAAAATATTTTGGCCATGATTTCCTACCTGACTTATTTACAATTCAGAGATAAGATAGGAAATACTTATCACTTCCTATCATTAGTTTGTGTGTTGCAAGTCTAAACTCATCTTATTTCATTGGTATATTGTTTCAAAGAAATATTTAGTCAAAAATATTCTTTTTATTGCAAAACTAGGTGTAAGTGGCATTTTGCCTTAAGGGAAGTTACACAAACTTCTCGATATTTGAGAAGTAATAAGAACTAGTTCTTATTATAATCACAGCTGTTTAGAAAAAATAAAAATGAAATTTCAAATTTGTAGATAATGAAGAAATTTTGTTGAATTGATTCATTCAAATTATGTACCAAAACGTCTCACAATAAAATAAAATGGCAATATAAATTATTTTTCACACACCATATAAAATGATCTAATCACTATATAATAATTTTAATCATTTATCATAGAATTTTATCTAGACTAAAAGAATACGTAATCTGCAGAGCAAATATTGACCAATGGTAAACTTTCAATTAAGGCCACATGTTTGTATAGCAACTATAAAGTATTGACCTTAACTCAACACGAGGACAGTCTTTGAACTCAATACAAAAAATATCAATAAATCCCTATTTTTTATTTGAAAAACATTCAATCAATAACAGAGCAATATAACAATACTGTTTGGTTTTGCCCTGGAGCAGGATACGATAAAGAAAACAAACTTTTCAAATGTTTTTGCGGATACTGTGTCGTGCAGACAATAATCATTATGAAGAATGAGTTTTATGCAAAAAATAACATATATAATGGCATGATATCGTTGTATGAAATCAGTAAATAACTCATACATGAGTTGCATGTAACATTTTATTATTCGTGCTAATAAAATATGGGTGCATCTTTTCAGAGAGTGTTATCTTATTCTTAAAATAAACAAAATATTAACATGGACCTGTGTGCTTTCTTAAATTTCAGTGTATAGAATTTTAACAATGTGTACGAAAAGGTGATTCGATGCCAATTTGAATAATACGAAATATTCTAAATTTTAGTTATAAATTTGAAAATTGAAAACCATTATGAGCAAAAACGCCAATGACAGAGGCAATGGGCCAACGTGAGTATTTGTCAAAATTTTGTTTTTAAAATTGAAATATGAATAATAATTTTATTTGATAAATACTATCCAATACTATTGTGAATATTTAACATGTTTAATATTATAATATGTTTGGTTTGATCTGAGCTGAAATATGATCTGAAAGATTCATCATAACTGGACATTTTTAATATGGGAGACAAATTTACTTCAGTTAACTTCTTACAATATATTTTCCAAATTATTTTAAATCTAAATTTAATCGATACAAACTCTTACTTTTAAATTCAGTTATTTTACATGTTTATTCTACAAATGTGTATTTCAATTCCAAAATTCAAATTACTTTACATCTAATTTTAATCCAAGCAAGTCCTTACAAATTTTAAATTTCGATGATCGGTTATTAAATTTGATATTGAATATTAAATGAATAATGATATTAATTTAACATTCCAAAATTAAATGATAATTGTGGTTATGCCATATTTTGCATGACTACTGATATTTTGATCGCTAAAAGTAGATCAATATTCATGAATAGTGGGAAAACATGACTTTGCATATTGACTCAAAATATAATATCTCTCATTATTAGAAATGTTTGCAAATTGAAAATGCAAATTTAGAACATACGATTTTTTCATATGTGTGCATTTATATCTTTAACCGACATCATATTTATTTATTATATCATCCTAGGAAAATACCATGTTCTACAACTTCGATCGCGACGGTTTAAAGTCAAATCCTTCACAAAAATATAAAATCAAAAAAATATATTATTACTATATTTAATACATTTGTATTGTTATTAAAGAATGAATCTGCATGTAGCAAAAAGTGTCACATTAGAATATTTGGAAATAATCTATTTTTAGTAGCACGTGGAGCATCAGAGTAGTAATATTAAGATGTTGAATTTTCAAGTCTTGTTTCAGAAATAGAGTTCAAGTACATCATTATTTACATAAATAGGTCAATTAATATAAAAACAAATTCATGACATTGTTCATAATATTGCTATTAATTTAATATATAAAACTTTAAATATAATTATTACTTTTACGGTTTTACTAGTCAATGATCCCAATGGAGTTATAATTGAATAGGACTATTATAAGGATTTGAAAATTTGATTATCTCTGTAAAATAAAGACTACGACCGTGGAGCATAGTGTTGAATAGATGAGGATGTACGAATTTCTTTAAAATTTTCTGGTTTTCACAGATTTCTATTTATTTTTCTTTCTATTATAGAAAACCAGGACCAGCAACGCCTTTGATAGCAGTAACAACCAGAGGCCTTGGTACTTACCAAATTACCAGAAATGTACAAACTACAGAACAAGTTCAAATTGCAGGCGGCTATGATCCACCAAAAAGCCATTGTAAGTTTTATTATGTAATCAACCGAAATATCCAAATAAAAAACCCTGATCGATGATATAACACACGTTTTTCAATTTAAGAAATAATTGGATAATATCGTAGCAATAATGTTGCATAAAACAGTTGCAATTATACCAATTAGTTGGTAATGAATAACTTTGATATTATATTACTGAATTAAATAAATTGGTTTGCAAAATAATTAAGATTTAGTTTTACTCTATTTCTTTAAATTTGGTATTATATAAAAGTTGTCAGTAAAATTATATAACCCACACAATTCTAAAACTAGATATAACGTTTTCTATTTTGAAATGGACAATCTTAGCAACGTTCAGAAAACAGTGTTTATTTTTTTAATTAGGAATTTTTGAAAAACATTACATTCTAAGAATAATATTCAAACTGTCATTAAATCAGTATTTTAAAGATAATTCCAAATCGATCAAATTATATGTATGTGCACGTGTATGGTTCTCTAACGATTTATTTTTAAATAGACCTGAATGCAAGAAATGTTTTTCTTGCTCGTTCTGGAAAAGCACTTATTTATTCATTAAGTATAGTTTTCAGAAAATCATCATTAGGTTGTGGTTAGCAATAATAATAATATTGACTAATTGACATAAATTAAAAATATTTTTCATATTAAAAACAGGCAAAAATATTTTATTTTCTAATTCAAATTATAAGTGAACAAGACATTCAAAAATCATTCTGAGGTTAGCATGGTTAAGAGAAGACTACCCAGTGGTAAAATTTCTATTTTTGAAAAATTCGATACCTCCAAAATGCTATGAAATGATTTTGAGAAATTTGAGAAATTTAGTTTTAAGAAAATGCATGTCACACCCTCGAGTTAAGACGTTAAAATTTTAATGAATGGCAAAATTTGTAACACGTTTTTTAAATTCTATTTTTAAATAACAGATTTCTACTGTATATATATGATAAAATAATGTTATCAATTCAAACATTTGCTCATACTAATATTGAAATATTCACATATTCTCAGTATTCAAACATGTATGACTAATTGTAGAAATAACTTCTCAACTTTTTTACATGATTATACAGTTGTTTTACCATGAGATTTTTTATATAATTGTTTTTCGACTTCTTTGTTTACAAAAGTCACATCCATATTTAACAAAACTCTCATTTTTCTATATTGTTGTAAAAAATAAATGACTTTATATACGTCAATGTTTTTTAAATATGGTAAGGTGGCAAAAGTAAATGTCTACGAAAATTAAAACTCTAGAAATTCGAGAACTTGGATATTATTGGTTTCCATTTTCACACACTCTCATTGTTTTGATAATCCAAATATACATTAGTTTTGTTTTGATAATCCAAGATATAAGTTTGCATATAAAGAATTTTATTTGTTTGTAATTATGAATCTCATTTAACAATTAGCTGACGCATCGAGACAAAGCCCAAGTTTCACATTAAATGAGTATTTGTATGTCATTAAATTTGATATGAACTTACATTCCAAGTATTGTAGTATTAAACTAATTACATGGCACACAAACATATTTTAGAAGTGATAATTAATTCAAGGTCGTCACAAAATGCTTATATGTATTCTAGAGCATGCTTGTCGTTTTTAAAAGATATTCAATTATATTTCGATCACGTACATCTTATAAATGGAAAATTTGATTTGGATTCTTTCGCAAAAATGATGATATAAAGAGCAGTTATAAAATGTCACGTTTGCACGAGTCAGCAATTATTTATCATTAACAAACATAAAGTATTTTTTTAATTATTTAATTGTATTAATTTAATTCTTTGTTCATTGTGACGGTTCTGGAGATATAATTATATAATAAGATAATAGGTTAAAACAAAGGTGACCATAGTCTGGATAGTTTGCCCGGGATAGTTCCGGGGGTAGAACGATGTAGTATTATCAATGAACGTGATTTTACTATCATAGTACGACGTAGTAAGTCGTAGTACGGTGTAGTTTTATCAATGAACGTGAGTGTACTATCATAGTATTATCAATGAACGTGATTTTACTATCATAGTACGACGTAGTAAGTCGTAGTACGGTGTAGTTTTATCAATGAACGAGGTTCTATCATAGTATTATCAATGAACGTGATTTTACTATCATAGTACGACGTAATAAGTCTAGTACGGTGTAGTTTTATCATGAACGTGAGTGTACTATCATAGTATTATCAATGAACGTGATTTTACTATCATAGTACGACGTAGTAAGTCGTAGTACGGTGTAGTTTTATCAATGAACGTGAGTGTACTATCATAGTATTATCAATGAACGTGATTTTACTATCATAGTACGACGTAGTAAGTCGTAGTACGGTGTAGTTTTATCAATGAACGTGAGTGTACTATCATAGTATTATCAATGAACGTGATTTTACTATCATAGTACGACGTAGTAAGTCGTAGTACGGTGTAGTTTATCAATGAACGTGAGTGTACTATCATAGTATTATCAATGAACGTGATTTTACTATCATAGTACGACGTAGTAGTCGTAGTACGGTGTAGTTTTATCAATGAACGTGAGTGTACTATCATAGTATTATCAATGAACGTGATTTTACTATCATAGTACGACGTAGTAAGTCGTAGTACGGTGTAGTTTTATCAATGAACGTGAGTGTACTATCATAGTATTATCAATGAACGTGATTTTACTATCATAGTACGACGTAGTAAGTCGTAGTACGGTGTAGTTTTATCAATGAACGTGAGTGTACTATCATAGTATTATCAATGAACGTGATTTTACTATCATAGTACGACGTAGTAAGTCGTAGTACGGTGTAGTTTTATCAATGAACGTGATTTTACTATCATAGTACGACGTAGTAAGTCGTAGTACGGTGTAGTTTTATCAATGAACGTGAGTGTACTATCATAGTATTATCAATGAACGTGATTTTACTATCATAGTACGACGTAGTAAGTCGTAGTACGGTGTAGTTAACAATGAACGTGAGTGTACTATCATAGTATTATCAATGAACGTGATTTTACTATCATAGTACGACGTAGTAAGTCGTAGTACGGTGTAGTTTTATCAATGAACGTGAGTGTACTATCATAGTATTATCAATGAACGTGATTTTACTATCATAGTACGATGTAGTAAGTCGTAGTACGGTGTAGTTTTATCAATGAACGTGAGTGTACTATCATAGTACGACGTAGCAAATCGTAGTACGATGTAGTATTATCAATGAGCGTGATTATACTATCATAGTACGACGTAGTAAGTCGTAGTACGATGTAGTATAATCAATGAACATGAGTATACTATCATAGTACGACGTAGAAAGTCGATGTAGTATATTATGAATAAACATGATTGTACGACGAATCAAGTGTGATGGTAGTCCAACTTTTTTCCTGAATTTTGTTTTCAATTTTCATCTTAATTTCAGGTTGTAGTTTGGCTTGCTGTCCAAAACCAAAATGTGATCGATGTTGGAAAATTACGCGTTCAGTTTGTCCCATACTGGATTGGCTGCCCGGGTATTCCCTCAAACGAGATCTATTCGGGGACATGATAGCGGGCATGACAACTGCAATAATGCATGTACCGCAAGGTATTCACATCAAATCAACTTGATTAGCATAATAAAATACTTTTGTTTTCATCGTTGCACAATTTTATTATTCACAATATTATATTTATTAGCAATTTGATGCAAAATGTGTATTTCGCAGGTATGGCATATGCTTTGTTAGCAAATGTTATTCCAACAGCAGGATTATATATGGCTTTCTTTCCTGCATTGGTTTATGTAGTTTTTGGGTCATCCAGACATGTATCCATGGGTAATTACAAACATATTTTACAATTTTATTGCCAATTGTATACTGAAAATTATTTATTTCGCAGGAACATTTGCTGTAGTTAGTATAATGGTAGGAAAAATTGTTCAAGAATACGCCTATTTTCCAGTAAGCATAAAAAAATTATACGGACACGAATAATGTATAATATACAATTTTTAAATATTTTTATCATTTTAGGACGGTGTAGAGAAAAATACAGGAGATACGACCACAATTCCTGGTTAGACCCAATTTTAAATTGTCTTATTTTTACTGAATTATGTAATTAAATTTAAATTAAAAAGACTGAATAATTTTAGACCCTGATGTGCAATACGATCCTACAGAAGTGGCAACCGCAGTTACATTTCTGGCTGGAATTTATCTGGTAAGCACTGGATTAAACTGGGATATCAAAAATATCATTTTTGCTAGAACATGAATTCCATAATATATTAATTTCAGCTTATCATGTGGATTTTTCGTCTAGGGGCTCTTAGTACTTTGTTATGCGAGCCCCTGATAAACGGTTTTACTACAGCCGCTGCTGTTGCGGTTCTCATCAGCCAAATGAAAGATTTATTGGGCCTTAAAATTCCGAGACACAATGGAATGTTTAGTCTTCCCTATGTAATTTAATAAAATTATCATAAAATCATATATTCAAATTGACTGGTTCATTCAAATTCAATTTCTTTCAGAACTTATACGAAACAATTATAGGTTTACCGACCGCTAATACTGCTACTATAATAGTATCAATATCTGTGATATTTGTGATGACATTGAATAACGAACTACTTAAGGTAAATCTTAAATGCCTTAAATCCTTGAAGCATAACATATGAAGAATATTAAAACCCAAATTTATTTTAAATTATTGTTTTCCAGCCTTGGTTGGGTAAACGATGTCGGATGCCAGTTCCTGCGGAACTATTGTGCGCCATAGCAGGCACCGCTGTTTCATACCTTCTTGATCTTAAGCAAAACTACAATGTGCCCATTGTTGGAGAAATACCCACGGGGTAGGTAACGTAAGTAAGTGATCCGGCTCACTTTTAAATAAATTCAATTTTAAAGAATTGGTTTTTGTCTTAAAATGTGGCTATATATAATTTTTAATTTACAGTTTGCCAACACCAAGTTATCCACGATTTTCTTTACTACGTTTGGTAGCTGTCGATACAATCGCCGTTGCCATTGTTTCCTATTCCATCGTGATGTCTTTAGGATTGATATTTGCGAGACGCCTTGGATATACCATAAGGCCAAATCAAGAACTTCTAGCAATGGTATAGCTAATATAGTTTCTAATTGATCACAACCATATATTGCATTTTTTATATTTAAATATTATTTTAGGGTTTGGCAAATTTGGTAGGAGCTGGATTTTCATGTATTCCCATTGCTTGTTCATTGACCAGAACCATGATCCAGGCAAATATAGGAGGAAAAACGCAAATGGCGACGGTCATATCAGCTTCTATTATATTAATCGTACTTTTATGGATTGCTCCTTACTTACAGTATTTACCACGTGTAAGTTTTGAATTTCCGGAAATAAATAAATGAAAGTGGTTATTAAATTATTTTAATTTGTAGGGAGTTCTGGCAGCTATTATATTAGTCGCTTTGAAAGGAATGTTCATGCAAGTAAAAGATTTGAAACGATTTTGGCTACTGGGCCCTATACATGCTGCTATATGGGTAGGAACATTTTTAGGAGTTGTCTTCATTAGCATTGATATGGGGTGAATAATTTTTGAAAATTTTTATAAACAGTTTAATTTCCGTTTATTTGAAATGATTAGTTATGAGCAAAAATAATGTATTTGCAAGGTTGCTAATTGGCGTCGTGCTATCTTTGATGACTTTATGGTTTGGAAATAGATCGAATTGCAAAGTGATGGGTCGTATACCAGGAACTGACTTATATGCTGATGTTAGTTCATACAAACTGGTAATATTATATATTTATTAATCATTTTAAATGAATATAAACTTATATATCTAAATAATTAATTCCAATCTTATTTGTTATCATAATCTAAGGCTGAAGAATTACCACATATTAAAATTATTCATTACGATGGAAATATCAGTTTTGCCGCATCAAGCAGTTTCAAGAAATCCATTCTCAAAAATATACAATTTGCTCCCGCACATGAGGAAGAAGAAGCATTGCGGGATACAAAAGTAAATTCTTTATTGATCTTAGAGTTGGATATAGTTTAATAGAAAATCACTTTGATACCAAATCTAATAAAATTGAAAATATTATTTTAAACATGAAGTACTCTCAAAATAAAATAAAATTTTCAATTTCAGTCAGTCCGTGTCATAATTTTGGACATGAGTTCTGTTCGCCATGCAGATGCCGAGGGAATGTGTTTTCTGTTTCAAATGAAACATGAACTATCTCAAAAAAATATTAGTATTACAATGGCAGCCCCAAGTGGTAAGTTTACACAAAATTATCTGTTGAAATTAGCACTTGTAGATGGTTTCTTATTATTATTGTTATTATTATTAATATTATTATTTGCAGATGGAGTATTAGAAGTAATTCGTAGATTAGAAAGCATTGGACCAAAGTCTTGTGCTGCTTTGAAAACAACAAAAGCAATAGAAGCCTTTCCTACAATTCATGATGCAGTAATACATTGCCAACAAACTCTTAATGAATCTGTATAATGATACCGATACTGTAAATTGTAATAATCCTGTACTTACACAGATGTTTATCCTACTTAACACAATGATAGAAGGATTACTGATTTACATGTAATAATAATTTTCGATAAACACTTTTTTAAATAAAAAGGATTATTTTTATATTAAATTATTTATTAAAAATATTTTATATACCTTTAAAATATATAACAACTCTAAATACCTTATGCCTAGGTGAGATGTTTATTTCATTAATAGTTTATAATATCACTTTCAACATAAAATAAAAAATGTATATGCATTAATTTAACTTTTTGGGCATAAATGCAATTTAGTCATTTTGTTTACTTAATACTACTAATACTATCAGCAAATGTAAATGTAACCATCTCTTGAAGTTACATTCAATTTTTCATAAATATTGTGTCATAAAAATTGAAAGCTTACTTCATATAAAAATACAGTTAATATCATCAGTTATATATATATATGGCAAAATATAGAATTAAATAATAAAGATAAGGGCTATGCTAAAAATGTACAGGTACAGAACTCTAAAGACGAAGCAGATAATTCTTGATTCATTCTTGATGTAAAGAATGTTTTCTTTTCATAACAGTGAAGAATCTAAGTAAAGTGTTTTCACTTTTAGGAGTTTTTAGTACATTATCCGAACTAGATTTATTCCGACTTCTTCTTGAAGGTGTACCATGAAACTTAGGACTTTCTTCAACATGGCCATTAGGAGACCCAAATTCTTTAACATCATCAAGAGGTGAAGCAAAGTTTTCATAAAGCCGCTTTTGCTTAATGTGCCTTGTGAGCCAATCTACATTCTCCTTACATTTTTTCTTTGGAGAAATAGTCCTCAAATGTGGTGCTTCACCATTCAGAACATAATTTGGCAAATTTATAGTAGGAGAGGTAAATTTAGAGCTCTTGATGACTGTGGTGTTGAAATTAGGGATTTGCAACGATCATTTATGGGAGTTAGAGGCAATATTGAAGTGTTTGAGCAACCTGGTTCACATTTTTCATTTTCTTCTATGATTGTACTTAATTCTGCGCTTGTTCCACACTGTTCAAATAAACGTCTTGCTCCTCTATTTTCTAGATGAATTCGTTTCTTTTCTGGTGCATGATCTTCGTCTATATCTGAGGCACCTAACATGTCACTAGAATTTCTTTTCAAAAACCTGCTGCTAGACTGGGTATTTAACATTTGACATTTGATACAATTTTTGTCTTGTAACCATTGTTAATGGGTGTACGAGATTCACAATTATCACATTGCATTTTAGACTTCAAATTACTTCCAGTTGATGGTGTTTTCTCACTCCTACCAACCCATCTTTTACACACTTCTTGTGTATATTCTAAAGATCCTAATTCTTTATTTGGAATTGCATAGTTATCCATTTTTTTATTTTGGCCTCTTAATAATGTATGGTCAACATCTTCTGAGCCTACTCGCCATACTTTGTGCTTTGCATCATCACTACAAGTAATAATCTTTGGTTCTCCTTGAGCACACCAGGCAACACACGTAACTTCAGCCGCATGGCCTTCCAGGGCCACAAGTGGTGTGGGCAGTCAACATTCCAAATATAAGCTCGCTCATCACTACTTCCTTCACTGGCTAAATACCTAATGAGTTAAATTCATTTTCAAAATTACTGATCTTCAATGTAATTCAACTTAACTCGATATTTGAATTCACTGAGTTTGAAAGCAACTTCATAAAATAAATAATGGTACATCATATAAATGTATATACTATCTACTCACTTGTACAATAAAGATGAATAATGAAAAAAACAACAGTACAAAAATCAACATTGCAAAATTAATTTACAATGATTAGGTAATATGCGCATGTCCATTATATGAAAATAATAAAGATTTAATATATATATATATATATATATATATATATATATATATTTATATTATATATATATCTATATTATATTATAATTTATTTAATATATAGAATATATATATAATTATATATATATATACTATATATAATAATTTAAAATTGAATCCTACCTTCCATCAGCACTCAAAGCAGACTTGACATAAAATGTAGCATTTTCTAAACCCGATATATATTTATAGGGCGATTATGTCCTCCACTAGCATTATAGCAATATATTCGATTATCCATACAATTTGCATACAATCTTGATCTTGTATGATCTAGTATTAAATTTGTGAAACCTTTGCAAGCACTGGAGCCTGATGAAATAAATAATATTAGATATATAAATTAAATTATTTTGTTTTATTAATATACCTGCATAACTTAATGAATGTTTTGGTAAAGGTTCTCTTTTTGCATTAGAATATGTTTTACGTAAATCCCAAATTTTAATGACTCCATCACCAGCACCACATGAAATTAAGTCATATGAGTCACGGAAAACTAATCCTGTTATACTATGAGGTCGTGATAAACTAGAAGATAGTCCTCCACTACCCGGAGTTTGCCCTCCCCGGATCTTTTTTCTATGCTGCTTGAGACAAGTGATTTATTTAATAATGATTTAATGTATTAATTAAATTAAAGCATTTAAAGCATATTTATTAATTAAATATGCTTTTAATATATTACAGATGATCTACCTGACTTGGAGTTGTTGATGCTGCACCATGACAAATGAAGATCACATCATCAGCTCGTGTTTGATAACCAGACAACCTTACAATTTATCATAAAATTATGTTAAAAAATATTTTCAAATACAATGTGACCATATTGAGTAATTTACAAAAATAGTAATAAGGTCACTTATATAATAAAATTGTTCAACTTATAAACAACCTGCTGCTGATCGTACATCCCATATATATATAGCACCATCACGACCGCCAGTGGCAAAAACAGCTGGATCCTCAGGGCGAAAACACACTGTTTTTAATGATCTCGTATGACCAGAAAATATACGAATAGGGTTTGGCCTATTTTCATCAAAATCCCAAAGACGAGCAGTATGATCTCCTATAACAAATAATTTTATTTGATACAATAATACTTAATAACTGTAGACTCCTTAATATGTTAACACATCAGAAACAAACAAAATAATGTTTTATCATAAATTAATATGAAAACCAACCTGATGCAGAAACTATCTGAGTATTATATGGCATCCAAGCTAGATCAAAAACTGCATTATGATGGCATTGTCTTCCCTCTAATGGTTGGTTTGCAACACTTTCGGAAGATGCAGGTAGTGTTGTGTCATGAAAAGCAATCTGATAAGCAAAAAAAAGTATAAATTCCTATGGTTAAAAATTAACTGCAATTATACATTCATTATTGATAAACTCACCATTCCATCTTCATTGGCAATTGCTAGTATATGCTCAAAACCTTTTGCAACCGCAAATTTGGCAGCCAAAATAGGTGGCTCGGGATTATAGTCAGCGCCATCAGTAGATGGTAAAATACCTGACCAAGAATCTTTTGGGTCAACAACTAGCCTACACAATGCACTATCATAGTTTGTCCAAGCTATTGAATATAATATATAATAAGTTATTGAATTAAATATAATTTATAAATATAATATTAATAAGTGATTACTACAAAAACCTACATTTTCCGTAAAATCTATTAGTGAAAGACACAACATCATTAATCATTGTTATCCTAAATGTAGTTTATCATTAATATTAAAGGGCTAGTTTTGCATGAAATGAGCGCACTTTTACGTTGTCAAGCTATGTCAAATTGCGCGCAAAATTAGTGAAAAATGGCCTCGGAAGAATGCACAACCTAAAAACAAAAATATTTCACATTATGCAAAAATAATAAAATCAAGACTATATTTTGTAAACTATATTAATTACTTTATTTGATTTTATACGGTTATTTGTTCTAGATTATACCTAATTTATTATTTATATAAAGCACTGTGTGACTTACATGGATTAGGCACATTATAACGAATGAATTTACAATAATTACATAGTGGTATATTTAATGCCTTAATAATTAAAAATGTAAAAAATGAAACTATTATTAACGATATGGCTCATTCATTATTTATTCATTTTGTATTTTACTAAAATACAAAATTTTCTACATGTTGACACATATCAAACACTTCTAATTTCAGACTGTTTCTATCTGTCAAAATTTTGGTTTGTGATTATTCCGCCAAAATTCTAAACATCTCCAATGCGTAAACAACATTAATTTTATTTCTTCTTCTGACTAAAATAATAACAGTTATGGCTGAATCACTAAATATTAGTAATGAGGACAATGGAGTTACTATGGTAGACGTCTTGAGAGACGAGGAAGCTCTGGAAGAAGATGCTCATGCAGTTTTAGGAGGATCTGATGATAAATTTTGTACATATTCGAATGTAAATATATACAGTACATGTTTTCATAAATTAATTTGAGGGCTACTTTTGTAAAAAAAACAACTTTTTAATTTTTCAGGGCTATGTCAAAAGACAAGCTTTATATGCTTGCAGAACTTGTAACACAAAAACATCTCAGGATGCCGGTATTTGTTTGGCTTGCAGTTACCATTGCCATGAAAATCACGATCTCATTGAGTTATATACAAAACGTAATTTTCGTTGTGATTGTGGTAGCTCAAAATGCCTGGAATCAAATGTAATTTAGATCCCTTCAAGTCAGAAGATAATTTGATAACAAATACAATCAGAATTTTTCTGGTCTTTATTGCACCTGCCATAGACCTTATCCTGATCCTGAGGATAAAACTCCTGATGAGATGATACAGTGCATCGTTTGTGAAGATTGGTACCATACGCGACATTTGGGAGTAGCAGTACCATCTGCCGAAGATTATTCTGAAATGGTTTGTTTTGGATGTGTAAACAAAAACGACTTTTTGCTTAATTATGCTGTTTATGATGTGACAAAGGGTGATGATGAAGAGAAAGAAATAGATGTTGAAACTCCATCCAAGAAGCTTAAGACAGAATCCAATGTTTCAATTTCACAAACTGTTGATGGATGTGTGAAACCAATTTCAAGCACAGCCCCAAAAACTACTCTCTTTTTTTCTGAAGGCTGGAGAGAAAAATTATGTAAATGTACCAATTGCTCGAAAACTTATTCAGACTTGAAAGTAGAATTTCTGATAGATTTAGAAGACCGCGCACAGTATTATGAAGAGCAGGGTAAATTTAAGGCTATAAAACATCACAATATGAAAATGGTTTTAAGAGCACTTTCTTCACTTGGTCACGTACAGCAGATTGATGCCATTACAGAGTATAATAAATGACTGCAAATTAAAGGAATATTTGCAAACATTTGCTGATAATAAAAAGATTGTTACAGAAGAAGATATTAAAATATTTTTTAATTCTATGAAAGAAAATCGGCCTACATCAATTCCTCAACCCAAATTTCTGTCGCTAAATGTATTTTAAATTTAATTTTTATATCCTAAATGGATTGCAAAATCATTCATATGTTTTTACCAAATAACCATTTATGCATATTTTTGTAGAATATGAAAATTAATGTATTGGATTTTGAATGTTAATAAAAACAGATGTTATAATCTTAATCAATTTAAATGTTTTATTGTCAATTGGCTTTTGATAATTTTTTTTCTGAAAAATTAATGAATCATAGAAACTATCTGAACTTTTAATATGCATATATTAGTTTTTAGCTTAAAAAATAAATTATTTATAAATTGCATTTATAAAAATAGATAATCTCAATAATAAAATATTAAAAATGCATTATATAATATATATATTTTTATACAATTTTTCTCTGATATTTGGTTTCATATAGAAAAAAAAAACAATATCTTAACTTCACTTATTATCACAATTATGTACTAAGATTTCTTTTTGAAGAAAATTGTTTCAATTATTTACATTGTTCAGCCTTTGTCACTGCTATAAATATATACTATTACAATTTACATATAAAATCTGTATTACCTATATAACATAAAAAACAATTAAAACTATTAAAACAGTAACCTTTGTACCCCTTATAGATTTAATTCAGCAATGAAAATTATTAGGAAATAGGATAAGGTATTACATCATAATATTTCTACCAAAGCGATGATAGTAATTTCCAGAAACATGATGGGCCTGTCGACCCAGCAGAGGCATGTGTGTTTTAACAATGTATTGTTCAACAACTCCACACTCGTAAGAGATGAAACTAGGAGATTCCTATGAACAACTAGATCAAATGCAGATAGCTTCCAAGCATAACCGATAACAGTACAAAATATAAAAACAACACTGAATTTACTTTCACTTCACACTTCACAGTCTGTTAAACGCAAGAAGGAATAACACGAAGCAAAACAGTATAAGACACTAATTTGGTATTTGTTTGACTTTAGCACGTCTCAACATGCAATATAGTTTATCCATCAAACTCATGCAAAAATATAGATATGCACCTTTTGTTTTCCAGATATATAACCATGTCTTAAAATTGTATATATCTCAAACAAGTTTCTTCCGAATACAAGATCAATATTGATCTACTTTTTCAAAGCATATTGGTTCTGCATTATTATAATGCTTTGTAGCATCAGTCTGTACTCCAATAATTTACAATAATTTTCATTTTAAATAAGATTTACACAAGATAGAGCTTCTACTTGTTTGTTTTCTTGTTCCAATAAAAACAACATATCTCTCAAATTGACTCGTTTTAACCGAGGTCTCAAGGGAGCAGCTGGTCGGCCACTTGAGCTGCTTGAACTTCCAACCTGAAATGTAATACAGATTTTTAATATAATTTTTCTTCAATACTATATTTATATATCAATGTTTTATTATTAATATATTTATAGTATATAATATATAAAAATTTATCAAGGAATTGATCATATAGCATATCTGATTTAATTATAATAATTTACATTATATAATATAGTTTTATAATGTAATGATTATGCATAAATAATGAATAATTGTTTTTAATGTTATTTAATCCTAAACAGTAAATAATTTCAGTAAAAATATTTAGTTTGAATTACAAAATATTCAAGAATTTTTTTTATTCAAAAACTGGTTTTCAAAAATACCCATGCAGCAATGATTACCTGAACATTGGCACTGGATTCTTCTAATTTAGCCTTTTTCCTAGGTCCAATTGCCTGCAAAGCCGTTAGATTAGCCCCCTCTGCCGTAATTCCTCCATTTCCGCTCTTTGCATTTCTTTAGCTTTTGCCTTAAGGGCTTGTTCAGGATCTTCCGATTTACTTCTAGATTTAGCAGCACGCAATAGCATTTCACGTTCCTGTTCTCATGCCTTTTGCGCTCTGCCCGATCAAGTTCTTCAAGAAACTTCAACTGACCCTTCACATCTTGTGTTGTTTCATAACGTGGGTCAAGCTGTAAATGGTTAAATATATCTATTATATAGTCTGTTAATAAATATTTGTAATTTTAATGAGATTTAATGGTACCTTATGACATCTATCCGATGCTCAGCTATCACAGCCAATTTCTCTATAATATTTTTTAATCTTCTTTGTAGCATGGGATATTAAAGCCATGACGTCCGGGACTTGGATCCTCCAATCCATGTTTAGCTGATATTTGCCTAATTTTAGCTTGCAAGGGTGCCGACTGCAAAAATATTTCATCTTTACATGATCTAATTTGGGTTCCTATCATTTCTGTTGATCCTAAAATTCTCTGAGTTTCTTCTGCTAAATTTACACCACCCATGGCCGCAACATCATTTATATCATCATC